AATTTTGGGGTGAATTTGGGCGTTTTTGGGCGCAGGGGGGACGAGGAGACGCCGTACCCCACGCGGCACTCGGAGCCGTACCCGCTCAGCAAGGCCCAGGCCGAGCGCCTCGTCCTCGAGGCCAACGGGAAACCCGTGAGGAAATCCAAAATCCGGGAATTCCGGGAAAAAATCCGGGAATTTCGGGCAAAAATACGGGAATTCGGGGCAAAAATATGGGAATTCAGGGAAAAAATACGGGATTTTGGGGGAAAAATACGGGATTTTGGGGGAAAAATACGGGAATTTGGGGCAAAATTCTGGGATTTTGAAGCAAAAATCCGGGAATTTCGGGGCAAAAATACGGGAATTTGGGGCAAAAGTCCGGGAATTTGAGGCAAAAATCCAGGAATTTTAGGTGGAATTAATGGGATTTTGGGTGGAATTTTAGGGATTTTGAGTTTTCCTCTTGGATTTTGGGATTTTTGCTTGGGTTTTGAGTGGGAATTTGGGGATTTTGGGTGAAATTAGTGGGATTTCGGGTGGAATTAATGGGATTTTGGGTGGAATTAGTGGGATTTTGGGTGGAATTCTGGGGATTTTGGGATTTTTGCTTGGGATTTTCGGATTTTCCCTAGGATTTTGAGTGGGAATTTGGGGATTTTGGGTGGAAATTTGGGGATTTTGGATTTGGCTTGTATTTTGGGTAGAATTCATGGGATTTTGGGTGGAATTCTGGGGATTTTGGGATTTTCCCTTGGATTTTGGGTGGAAATTCAGGGATTTGGGATTTCCCTTGTGTTTTGGGTGGAATTCATGGGATTTTGGGGGGGATTTTGGGGATTTTGGGTGGAATTTGAGGGATTTTGGATTTTCCTTGTGTTTTGGGTGGAATTCATGGGATTTTGGGTGGAATTTGAGGGATTTTGGATTTCCCTTGTATTTTGGGTGGAATTAATGGGATTTTGGGTGGAATTCATGGGATTTGGGGTGGAATTTGGGGATTTTGGATTTCCCTTGTATTTTGGGTGGAATTAATGGGATTTTGGGTGGAATTAATGGGATTTTGGGTGGAATTTGAGGGATTTGGGGCGGAATTTGGGGATTTTGGATTTCCCTTGTGTTTTGGGTGGAATTCATGGGGTTTTGGGTGGAACTTTGGGGATTTTGGGTGGAATTTTGGGGATTTTGGGGGGGATTTTGGATTTGGCTTGTGTTTTGGGTGGAATTCATGGGATTTTGGGTGGAATTTGAGGGATTTGGGGTGGAATTTGAGGGATTTGGGGTGGAATTTGAGGGATTTTGGATTTCCCTTGTGTTTTGGGTGGAATTAATGGCATTTTGGGTGGAATTAATGGGATTTTGGGTGGAATTCATGGGATTTTGGGTTGAATTTGAGGGATTTTGGATTTCCCTTGTGTTTTGGGTGGAATTCATGGGATTTTGGGTGGAATTTCGGGGATTTTGGGTGGAATTTTGGGGATTTTGGGTGGAATTCATGGGATTTTGGGTGGAATTTTGGGGATTTTGGGTGGAATTTGGGGATTTTGGATTTCCCTTGTGTTTTGGGTGGAATTCATGGGATTTTGGGTGGAATTTTGGGGATTTTGGGCGGAATTTTGGGGATTTTGGGCGGAATTTGAGGGATTTTGGGTGGAATTCATGGGATTTTGGGTGGAATTTTGGGGATTTGGGGCGGAATTCGGGGATTTTGGATTTCCCTTGTGTTTTGGGTGGAATTCATGGGGTTTTGGGTGGAATTTTGGGGATTTTGGGTGGAATTTTGGGGATTTGGGGCGGAATTCGGGGATTTTGGATTTCCCGTGTGTTTTGGGTGGAATTCATGGGGTTTTGGGTGTGTTTGTGCAGGTGGCGGGCGGGGCCCGGCTGGTGACGCTGGCGCTGCGCCCCACGGGGATTTTTGGGGAGCGTCACCCCCTGCTGGAGCTCTTCTACCGGCGGGGGAGGGGCCTGGGGGGGAGGGTCCCCCGGAGCCTCCCCCAGAACGCCGAGCACGCCCGCGTGTACGCAGGTGAGGGCACCCCAAAATCGCCCCAAATCACCCCAAAAGTACTCCAAAATCACCCCAAATCACCCCAAAAATACCCCAAAATCACCGCAAAATCAACCGAAAAGTCACCCAAAAAATCAGCCCCAAATCACCCCAAAATCGCCCCAAAATCGCCCCAAATCACCCCAAAAATACCCCAAAATCACCGCAAAATCAACCAAAAAATCACCCAAAAAATCAGCCCCAAATCACCCCAAAATCAGCCCAAAATCAGCCAAAGAATCACCCCAAAATCACCCAAAAATCACCCCAAAATCACCCCAAAATCAGCCCAAAAATCACCCCATAATCAGCCCAAAATCAGCCAAAAAATCACCCCAAAATCAGCCGAAAATCACCCCAAAATCACAAAAAAAATCACCCCAAAATACCACCCAAAAAATCACCCCAAAATCACCCAAAAAAATCACCCAAAAAATCAGCCCAAAAATCACCCCAAAAATACCCAAAAAATCACCCAAAATTACCCAAAAAATCAGCCCAAAAATCACCACAAAAGACACCCAAAAAATCACCCCAAAATCAGCCAAAAAATCACCCAAAGAATCAGCCCAAAATCAGCCAAAAATCACCCAAAAATCACCCAAAGATCACTGCAAAATCACCCCAAAAATACCCAAAAAATCACCCCAAAAATCACCCAAAAAATCACCCAAAAAATCACCCCAAAATTACACCAAAATCACCAAAAAAATCACCCCAAAAATCACCCCAACATCACCCAAAAAATCACCCAAAAAATCACCCAAAAATCACCCCAAAAATGCACCCAAAAATCACCTGGGCACCCCAAAACTCACCTGGGCACCCAAATTTTCCCAAATTCCTCCAATTTCCCCCCAAACTCCCTGCAGGCAACGTGGCCTGGATGCACGTCCTGGCCCAAAAATCCCCCCCTAAAATCCCTGAATTTCACTCAAATTTCACCCAAATTTCACCAAAAAACCCAAAAAAACCCTCAAAAAATCCCAATTTTCCCCAAATTTTCCCAAATTCCTCCCGTTTTCCCCCAAATTCCCTGCAGGCAACGTGGCCTGGATGCACGTGCTGGCCTGAAAATCCCCCCCATAAAATCCCTGGATTTCACTCAAATTTCACCCAAATTTCACCAAAAAACCCCAAAAACCCCCAATTTTCCCCAAATTTCCCCCAAAAATCCCGATTTCCCCCCGAATTCCCTGCAGGCAACGTGGCCTGGATGCACGTCCTGGCCCAAAAATCCCCCCCTAAAATGCCTGAATTTCACCCAAATTTCACCCAAATTTCGCCATAAAACCCCTGAAAATCCTCAATTTTCTGCAAATTTTCCCCAAAAATCCCCAAATTTCCCCCAAAAATCCCTGCAGGCAATGTGGCCTGGATGCACGTCCTGCCCCGAAAATCCCCCCCTAAAATCCCTGAATTTCACCCAAATTTCACCAAAAAACCCCAAAAATTGCCGAAAAAAACCAAAAATCCCCAAATTTTCCCAAATCCCCCCAATTTCCCCCTAAACTCCCTGCAGGCAACGTGGCCTGGATGCACGTCTGGCCCCAAAAATCCCCCCCTAAAATCCCTGGATTTCACTCAAATTTCACCCAAATTTCACCAAAACAAACCCAAAAACCCCCAATTTTCCCCAAATTTTCCCAAATTTTCCCAATTTCCCCCTGAATTCCCTGCAGGCAACGTGGCCTGGATGCACGTCCTGCCCTGAAAATCCCCCCCTAAAATCCCTGAATTTCACTCAATTTTCACCCAAATTTCACCAAAAAAA